AGGGAAAGAATCTTAAGTACATTCATGAATTTCCCCTTAATATTTTTATTTTAAAACTTGCTTTACGTTGTTGTGTGATAATGCAGTTTAATCAACATTAATGAAAGCTTTAGGTTTTGGAAATCTAAAGTAAGGAAGTAATATTTATGCCTTTTGTAGTGCAGTTAGTAGAAATTGCTCTTCATTTGCATGTTGAACTATTAGGGGTCAGTATAAAACATTTGGATACATATGTAGAAAATAAACTAGCATCTAAATGCTGAAGGGATTTTAATTCTTTAGTTAGTTTCACTTGATTTAAACTTCAAAACTGAAGTTATTCTTCTGTATTTAACTGTGAAAAGCAGTTTTGTAAATGCGTGAATCTGTGTATCAACTTTGTTACTGTCATCCTGTGAGCACAAACGCCATTACTATTTATTTTTAACACAGGCAATCACGAATTCAAGTGGAACTTCCAGAGCTTGAACTTGAAGATGGTGACAGGATTCACCCTTTTTCTGTACAGTTCCCAGGAGGACAAGATACTGTTCTGTCATCAGATGGCACAAATAAGGAACTAATTTGTTATATCAGCTTCAGATCACCCAGGCCAGTGTCATTTCTAGGGAGTATGTTCTTCATTGATGAAGAAGAAAACAGGTACAATTCAAATTCATTTGGGGGCACGGTCCAAACTGACAAAGTTGGTTGTAAGACACAGAACTCATAATGGTTGGGTAAAGGCATATGAGAATAATTCTGAAAAAAAAAAAAAAAAAAAAAGAAAATGAAACGTAGAAATGTATTTGTTTTTTCAACTGGATTACAATTCAAAACTACAAAATTCAGTTTTGGTGTCTGAGGTAAGATTCATCTAAGTGGCCATCTTAAGGTCTTGTATCTCATTCATATCTACTAGTAATTCTTATGTCTACTTCAGTCTTCTCAGATTGCTTTAGAAAGACATGGTCTTGATTCAGCAAATCCCAATATTTTCTATTACAAAATATTTTGCTTTTTGAAAAATACCGAATTAAAATTTTACAGTTTATTCCATGCTGGATTTCAAGTTGGTCTGATGTTTGGGTTGAGCCAAACTGTGAAATTTTATTCCACTGAGCCTTTTTCCTATGTTTCAATTTTTTAAAACAATGAAATGTTTGTGATTGGTTTAGAGTCTTTTTTCTGGGTTTATGCTAATGGCATCTGGAAGAGCTGGTGGTTCTTATCACCTATTTGCAAATCTTTACAAAGTTGCAGTGGAGTGATCTTGCAAAGGATTACTCCATTTTCAGTCCTCTCAAAAACTGCCAGTGTTCTTCGGGTACCCAAGAATTCAAGAAGAGACATCTCTGAATAGCTTAGCAGGTACTGTCTCTAAGTAAGAGATTCTGGTTATTTTCAAGACTATCTGTACAATGTGGAAATGTGCAAGGGTGCTTGTTTTTTATTTATTTTTTTTTATTTTTGAGAATGTTTTTGGTATGTTCATGTGATATATTATTTATACATGTGTTCTATTCATTCCTTGAGCTTCTGCTCTTCAAGGTGAAGGTAGGGAGACTTCTTGAGGGGGAATTACACTGAAAGTCAGATTGCATTTTGCTAGGAACCAGGAAAGAACATGTCCCAGTGATGCTTTAAAGGGACATCCCTCCCTCCCTCAGTGTTTGTCAGTATTCAGTCTGTTCTTTTTCATGTTGTCTGTCTTTCCCTGCACTCTATTACTTCCTATTTTTGTGTGTGTGTGTGTGAGTGTGTCTCCCTCCTTTCTCTTTGGTATTTTTCCTTTTTAATTATTTTTTAAAATGTCACTTTTAACTCATCTTCTATTGTTATATCTTGCTCCTTAATTTTTACTTCTCTGGTTTTATGTTATCTGTTTTTTAAGTTTTTTAGAGAATGACATATATATGAGTTTGTATACTCGGAGCTGAGGCATTTCCTGATCTCTAGTTCTTCCTGCAGTATCTGTAATATTCCTAATAAGCTAACTGAATAACAATCAGGAGTCTACTGTCCATACCAAAGATCAATATCGAATACTTCAGATGGAAAAATGTGGATTGGTTTGGTTTTCTTTTATTTTGGTTGGGGTGTTTTTGTGTGTGTGTGGGTTTTTTTTGTTTGTTTACTTGTATTTTTTGTGTTAGCTTTGGGTTTTTTGTGGGGTTTTTTTTTTGGCTACTGAGAAGGAAAGCAGCATACTGGTGTTCCAAGACAGGAACTGGGAACCATTAGATGATTAATATACTAACGCTTCTGTCAATTTTATTTTTAAACTTGCAAGGGGCAGGTCAGTATCTTTTGAGCAGCTCTGTAGGGGAACAGTTTGTTCATGAATAAAAAGGAAACAGACTCCTGCTCTCAATGAAGGTGTTCTTTGGGGCATAAGATAAAAAGGTATCATTTTAACAGCCAGATGACACAAGTCTGGATGGGTGAATGTTGCTCGTTTATATCAGTGCAATTTACTGTTTACAGAATCTAAAGTATACACACACACGCACACATATGTGGGCTTCTATTTTTGAGTTTGTTTTTGTGGTTTTCTTTTGTATGTGTAATGCTAGAAATTCACACAAGTGTGCTAGAGAGGTGTTTCAGCTTCAGACCATACTTGTGCGTGAAAAGTATATGGGATGCTGTCTTTTCTCCTATACTTCTGACATATGAGATATAGGACTGGATAGCAACCTATGGAAAACTGTTGGTGTATTCTCCCTTTCTCTGGGCTGGGCTCTTCAGTGTTTTCTGCCCTGCCTTAGAGGGACTTTCTAGACAGCAGCATCAGCAGAAGTGAGCACTGTCAGAGAGAAGGGATAAGGGACAAGCATCAGCAGAAGTGAGCACTGTCGGAGAGAAGGGATAAGGGACAGATGTGCTTTATGTTGCTATTTATTTATTTATTTTATTGCCTCAAATGCAGTCCTGTGCAGTATTTCAGAAAGCATTTGAAATTTTAAAAAGTACTCAAATTATTTGGGAATACGAGCTCTACATCTGAAAAATACTTAGGAATTTACGTGGTTTAATTCCTGTTAGACCTAAATTTCTTTAGGACATAACACCTAGAGTTTGACAGCACTTTATATGGAGTGTTCATATCAAAATTCATCTCTTTAAAACACTGTTTAGTGATGAAGACATATGCAAACATGAAATTCATACATCTCATTTTGATTTTACAGTTGTAGGCTGTTATTTAAATAACTTTAATGGTGAAAAGCAATGCAGAAGGTCTCCCCTGTCCCTAGTAAATGGAGAACAAATCTGTTATTAAATGTTCTGTGTGAAAATAACAGTTTTCAGCATTTTCCCCTTTTGTTCATCTCTCCCTTTGGTGGGATGAATGGGTGTATGCATGTGGAGGAAAGATAGGTACTGTTATGATTAAAAGTAATTCGCACAGTTACTATTTTCGGTAAAGCAACTAATTTGAGGATTAAATATCTCTGCCCTACAGCTTAGAATGGACTTTTTCCTAAGCATGAAACTAGATTTTGTATTATTTTGGTGCAAGGGTTATGGACCTTTCAGTTATTGCTGCTTGCATTGGATTAGTAATATTTTTTTTCTATATAGCTTGTCAGCCAAGAATCTATTTCTTATTGATTTTATTTAATTCTAAGATTTAATCGTTGTGTGGTATGGGATTCATAAATGTGTGCTAAAGCTTGCAGTAATTATGAGAAAATTATGACAAGGTCTGAAATACAGCTGCTGAGCAGGCACAACATTTAGTTTTAATAACTTTTTATATGATGCAGTAGCAGCTTCTCAAACCTTGTTACAGAGAAATAATCCTTTCTGCTGTGTAATAAACTTTTTTCTATATTTGCCATTAAAATGAAATAAAGGATACCATCCTCAATTTAGAGGCAAACTCAATGTGTTTTTGAAAAAAAGATACCAAATAAAAGTCATTAAAGTAACCTTAAAAGGCATCCCTGCTTGCAAAGGTGAAAAAATTCATGCTCAGGAATGTCAAATAATCTTAAAATTTCTGCTGTATTTTACAACATAATAGATAGATATTTGTTAAAGACAGAACTAATAACATTGGTTTGCCAATGCAGTTGCATTTGTGTGGGGGCTGTAGGAGCAGATGATAGAAAACCTGACCACAGCTGCGTGAAATAGCACACCATCCAAAACAAAGGGATTCTGTGTGTGCTGTTAGTCAGTTTAGTAATATTATTCACATTGACTTTTGGAAGAAATTATTTTTATGATAATCAGAAATAATTATTTCCTTCAATTGGAAAAGTCTGAGTACCTGATTCTCTAATCCTGAGCATATTGTTGTTATTCTAATAAAGTTACGATAATTTATCCAGACGTGGGTTTTGTTACTACTGTTAATATTACTGTGTTCTTTGATATTTAACTCTATAGTAATCTGTAGCTGCAATTTTTGTACTCTGCCCTCATCCTTCCCAGCCCCCCACCATGGGAGAAGTATGCAATGCGTTCAAACTTCAAACCTGATTCGACTAATTATCTAAGCATTTGAGCAGTTTTTTTCAACCTGTGTAACTGATTAATTTAAACTGTTTTGTTAATTTGGTCCTTTTTAGGAAGACAAGATTTTGGGGCTTTCTAGATCTTTAATAAAAAACCCAATGAAACCTATAACCTTTTTTTATAACACCTATAAAAGCTAACTGGTCTTGAATAGGTTCCTAGTTTGTTTAATAGGCCATGAGATCTCATAGTTGCTGAAAATGTATTAATTTGTTAGGTATTATCTCTTTATATTTCCATTTTCAAAGTAATAATATGCATTTTTAAATGTCTTGAACTAAAATTTTGAACTTCAACTTATATTCTGTGTTCTGGGATGGAATTAAAATAAGCAAATTAAAAAGTTATTTTCATGTGTTGGTAAAATATAATGTTCTGTATTTAACTACTTAGAAGAGGAACCTTAACTCCTAAGCAAAACTAATTCTAGGTGTATTTCAAAGCATGAGTATTGACAAATACTGTTTTGGGAATTTTTTACTTAGGCTCTGCAGTGTTTTGCTTTTCTAAATTTGGGTCTAAAACTTCAGTAGGATTGATTCATGTAATCCACATTAAGTCCATCTAAATAATAATTTTTTTTTCTTTATATCAGAGTGAACATTGGGTAGAGGATAAATATAGATGAATTTAGCTATTTTACAGAAAACATTTTAAATATGATATGCAACCATGTTTTATAGCAAAATGATGCTATATATAGCTGTAAAAGAAAACTGAAGAGATACATGGTTGTAATTTATGCAAGTAATTTACTGTGTGCACACATTCCATTAAATGGATCATAAGAAAGTACATTAATGTGTATTTAATGACTGCCTTAAATGAGAATTTGCAGTTAATTTCTAATGTTATTTTTAGTCTCTATTATGCCTCTCTGTTACTTTGACTCAAAGCAGAAGAAATGTTTCCTTGCATAGGGCTGATAGGAATACAGAAGTTAAAGATGCTTGGGTCATCTTTTCCTCTTCCTTCCAGTTCTGTCATCTCTGGATCTGTTTAAGGATTTTGGAGGGGAAGGAGAAGAGCAAGTTTTTATTTATTTTTAAATTACAACTTCTTGTTCCCTGCATCTAGGTTATTCCTTGTTCTTAAAGATCTGTAAAATCCCTTGTTCTTGTGTCAAGTTTCCTTTTGGCACTAATCAATTCTGCAAGCAGATTGTTTTGTTTCCTAAACTAGCAGTGCGAACTTCCTTGAAATATTTTTTAAATTTACCCAAGCAATGTTGCTACAAGCCTAGATCCTAATGGCTTTGGATTCTTTCTTTTTAGAAATTGTTAGTGATATTCTGCATCTGTTAATGAATAGTCTTGAAGAAGGGTTATTTAAATATGCTTGTATTTCTGGAGCATTTGGGGTACACTGATACAAAACAAATAATTTGTATCTACTTAGAAAATGTCTGAAATGCTATAGAGCAAAATAAAAAGTATAAATATATTTTGACTCAGTTCTTTTGTCTTTCCACAAACATTAAACAAAAAAAATCAAAGTTAATTTAAAAGAACTGAAAGAACTGCTTTTATAGAGAGGGTTGGATGGTATTTTTTTTCTCATCACAGTTGGAGGTTTTGTTTTTGGTGATCAGCAAGTTTCAAATGTTGGTAAACACAATATATTTTATGACCATTCTGCTGTTCTGTGTTATTTGGAAATATGCATTAGAGAATAAACACTGAAATAACAGTGGCAATGATGGTTCATATAGATAACAATTTTTTTACTTGCTTTATTAAGCATTATAAAACTGAATACACTGAATAATTTAACACATGTAGTAACTTCACATTTGCTAGCAGTACAGGTACATTTCATTACCTGAATAACAACAGACTTTTGTATTATTTCGTTAAGCTCTGCTGCAAATACAGAACAAATAAGTTGCACAATAGTTACGGCTTTGTAACCTCACTTCATGAATGGTGTTATAAATAAGGTTCAGTGGTACAAGATGATTTTAAGCACCTGAAGAATGCACATTTCTCTGTACTCTATTTGCCATATTTGTATGGAAATATGCATGCTTTTCTGTCTGGTGCCCTATATCTCACTGCCTGAAATATGTATGATAAATATTTAGCTCCTAGCACCTTTGTTTTTTCTGCCATGCTTCTGTACAAAGAGAGTGTCATCTTTTGAAGCTCAGATGAGTTTTTTAGCTATGGACTCATTCTTCTTGAAGTTTCCTGTCAAATCCCACTTTTGGGAAAATACCATATTAAAATACTTAATGGTGATGAGTGGATAGATGGCCAATAAATGAGTTGATATTTATTATCACAGAGTGGCTGAGGTTGGAAAGAGCCTCTGGTGATCATCTAGCTCCCTCTTCAAATCCCCTCCTCAATCAGAATCAACACTGTGGTCCAGTTGGTTTTTGAATATCTCTCAAGATGGAGACTCCACAACCACCTCCGAGCAGACTCTTCTGCTGTTCAGCCACTCTCATGGTAAATTTTTTTTCTCTTATGACTAGAGAGAATTTCCAGTATTTCAGTTTGTACCCATTGCCTTTTGGGCTCTCACTGAACATTACTGAGAAGAGTTTGGTTGCATCTTCTTTACTTTTTCCCATCAGATATTTATACACATAGATAAGATCCCCCCGAGCCTTCTCTTCTCCAGGCTGAACACTCACAATTCTCTGTCTCTCCCCACATGGCAGGTTCTTCGGTCCCTTCTTCATCCTTGTAGCTCTTTGCTGGCTAAAGTCTGGTCTTCTGAATTCGAGGGTTGTGATACAGCTTTTACCTTGCTGCCTCCTTTTGGAATGCTGAACTCCATCACCTTATGGTGACTGCAGTCATGGTAGACACATGGTCACAGGAGCTAAATACTTGCTGTCAATATCAGCTGCAGAATCAGTTGTTGACTTGCAGGATGCATCCACTCATCCTCAAGCTCTTTTCCCTCATCTGCATTAATGAAGAAAAGACCACCTGTGCCCCATTCCCTTGATCATTGCCCCCAAAGCTGTGCTGTCATGCCTGGTATGTTCCAAGTCTCCCATTCAACTTCACTGGTGCCCGTGTGGAAGAGTAGTAGGGCCAAGGATCGGACAAACTGCACTGGTCTCTCAACAGCATCCTGGATCAAAGCCCCAGGCAAGCAGCAAACCTCCCTAGATGAAGGGTCAGGTTGGCAAATGAGGTTCTCTGTCCCCTGCAGCAAGGATTTACTCACTACTATTACTTGTAGTTTCCTGGTGTTGCTTCACAGCTCATGCTCAGCCAGCATAGGTGCTTCATTGTCCAATATTTCTTCATCTTATGAACACTCTGAAGCTTCTAAATTTCTTATTTAAGAATATATTTGCAGTGTGTGTTCTATTGGCTGGGTATATTAATTTCTCTTACTATAATACCACAGCAGCCAAGGAGGCATGCCCTTGTTGAATTGTTAGCAGTATGGGACAGGGAGGAGCTTCTCTTGCAGCAGCACTGTGAGGTCTGAGGCATTTATTTGTACACAGATGTTCTGTAGTAGTGATGGCTGTTCTTTATATTCTAGATTGTGCAGTAGTATCTTTGCTTTGAGGAGTATCACTCCCATAATTTGGGTAACTAGTTAAGATGTACTGCAGCTGTTCTCAAGCACGCTTTTCTGTTTCATTACTGTGCAAATCAGAGCATGAATAAAGATTTGGCATATGCCCAAATCTCAAATCAGCATTGAGGATAGAGATGGCTGAGGTGCTCGCCTCAAACTGAGAAAACAGAAAGTTGACCAAGTCCAGTAATACAGACATCTGAGTTACTTTCATATAATTTGAGTGAGCACTATATCTTTCATTACCCTTCATACAGCTTTCTTCCACCCCTGCCCCCAATTCCGTTGTCTGAAGTTAACGTATGCCTGCAGAGTATTGAGAATTGTCACTTATTGCAGTAAAGTCATGCGTTGGAAATTGGCAAACTTTTCTGTGTTGTAGTTATTGATCCTGTGTGTCTTTAAATGGCTTAGTAAAGGTAGGAAAAAGTATTATGGCTCTGACACCTGGTTTGGGCATGTACAAACATACATTTTGTACATATAGATAGATATGAATAAACCTCTCATA